TTAACTTCACTACTTAGTACATAACGATGTCGCTAGGTGGCTTTTTGATGACTGATGGGATTTTTTATTTTTCACTTTTTAGGTTATGCGAATAATTGTCCAAAATGCTACGATATAGACACCATAACAGCCCTTCTCTTAAAGTTTCACTTTCAAAGCACTTCTTTATTCATGATTAATTCCTTGTTCATTCGGTTTTAATACACTTTCTGGCGAAATGTTCACTAAGTATTTCAATGTCAATTATCACTGTAAGTACAATATAGTTTCTTTAGATAACCCTCTCACACATATAATCCATGTTGTTTTATGGTTTAGTAACACTCACGAGAAGAATTTACGTATTTAAACATTTTATTTTTGCTAAAATAATCAGAGCTATTGTTTTCATGGCTACTAACGCCACCGAGGATGGAAGGAGGATTTAAATTGTTCCTGTTGATGATTGTATGCGAATGGACCTTTTAGGGTTGCGTAGCCAAATGGCAAAAAACGGAATCCATGGATTCGTCATGTCTGTCTGTCCGTCCGTATGTCACAGATTTTTTCCGAAACTATAAGAACTAACAAGTAGCTAGATGTATTCTGTGAACCGCATTAAGTAAGCACCGTAATATGGTGTATTCGCGGGTGAATTGCCAATGCTCCTGATATATTATGCTCCTAACCTAAGTCCTGAATCAATAATCTATACTTCTATTCGTTCATTCGTTTGAGCCGAAAGACGTCCACTGCTGGACAAAGGCCTCCCCCAAGGCATGCGTGGTCGCTTACTATGGGCCTCATAAGAAAGCTCAAGGTCACCTAAAGGGCGATGAAGCGTGCTATGCTCGGAGTTTCCCTGCGTGATCGAATCAGAAATGAGGAGATCCGTAGGAGAACCAGAGTGACTGACATAGCCCGCAGAATCGCTAAAATCAAGTGGCAGTGGGCAGGGCACATTGCTCGTAGAGCTGACGGCCGCTGGGGCAGGAAAGTTCTTGAGTGGCGACCATGAGCCGGAAGACGTAGCGTAGGCAGGCCTCCTACTAGGTGGACCGACGATCTGGTGAAGGTCGCGGGAGGCGCCTGGATGCGAGCGGCGCAGGACCGGTCTGTGTGGAAATACTTCTATACTAATATTATAATGCTGAAGAGTTTGTTTGTTTGTTTGGTTGAACGTGCTAATCTCAGGAACTACTGGACCGATTTGAAAAAATATTTTTTGTGTTTGATAGCCCATTTATTGATGGGAACGTGCGAAGTGGGTGGAAGGGGTAAAGAAAACGATCGCTGCGCTCGTCGCGGCACAAATGTGTAACATTATTGGCAAGGGAAGCAAACAAACTTGTCTTGTCATTGTCAATGTTGTTTTGATTTTATTGTGATTGTGTTAATTTATTCAATTGTATTGATGATATTGTACATGTATGTTGTGTTTTAGTTAATTTACAGCCTCCAATCTTTTCCAAGAGTAATACTGTTGTAAAAGGTAAATAAAAATCAACTTTTGAAAAACATAACTGTTTTTTATTTTATAAAAAANCTCTTCTACATTCCTCACATGCTCTGCTAGCACCAATTTTTTTCCTTTTAGCTGAGTTTGGGGTTGGAAACTTATTGTGTGTTTTACACACTCAAAACCAGTTTTTATAATGACGTCCATTTCTCCATAAACAGTTTTTATCAAATTCCATTCAACGTACCATTTATTGTCTTCTATAGTATATTTTATTTACTCTAATCAATAAAAATAAGAAAGCTGTTGTTATTTATTTTTTGACATATGCCCCTTAAAGTTTCGTTGGCAGATGGCGCTAATGTCGTGCACGTTCCCACATAACGCTAAGACGCACACTGTCACTTTCGCTTTTCAGGCGTTTTTAATTTTGTTCTGCAGATACTCGTAATTACCCCAATTTTATTTTACAATGATTATCTGATACCGATAGCGAAGTTGAAGAAGCATTACTATATTAATAGTCTTTATTAGAAGTTGACACCTATCAGGATTCTCGAGAAAACTAGAATAAATTCTGATATTGATACTTTCTTCTAAAACCTTTTTTATTATTCAAGTAGGTAGGTCAGACTAGTGGCATATTGATTATAATTAATTTTTAATTAATTTATAATTAATTTTTAATTATGTAGAACCTTTTTAACATATCCTACTTACTATTTATCTTTATTACATCTACGATTTAAAAAAACAGAAATGTCAAAGCGACAAATGACGCGATGATCGCTGATCGCTGCGTGCAGACGCTGCATAGATCGCCGCGACCAATGACAGGACGCGTTGATGTGAAGTCATCGTCAATGACATATATCTACTATAAAAACATCTTAGCTCATCGCTACAAATTTTATTCATAGACGCTGTCTGGTCGCCATCGCCATCGCCATCGTGCACGCCGGCTGCACGCGTTGGTTTGGCCGAACCTTAAGACGGGATTTTGTAAAATTCAATCCCTCAAAGGGTGATCAGGGTTTTGGTCCGGGGCCGCCTCGGGTCAGGGGCCCGTTGCATTTTGCAGCCCTGCCACCCAATAGTTACGCCACTGCCGACACACAGACACACTACCATTTTGTATTGCATTGTGTCATTGGCATCTTGTTATCGCCTCATAAAGCCGCTACCGCTGCTCCGCGTGCCATTCCTACGCGCCTAGCGGTGGGCGATTATGAATGATCGGCATAATCAATTTATTTTATGATACTAATGTTGATCATCGATTAATTATGGAATTAGTAACTAATTAATATTATATTTTCATAATCGAATGATGTTACTAATTAGAACCTGTGTTAGAACTACTTATCGTTGTGTTATCGTGTTATAGGTACATAAAGTACCTAGACATTGGTTTAGTTTGTTATTAGATTAATATAACGGCATAGATTAATAAAGCCTAGATAGTAAGTGCACGAAAAGTGTGGCAACTTTTAGTAGACCATTTTGGTCTACTTGAAAATAGAAACATTTTTGTTTTATTTAATTGACAGTTTTGTGATTTGTTTATATTATACCATGTGTACTTAACTACTAACAAAACTCGATTGTCAACTGTAGTATATACCTAATAAATAAATAAAAAAAAAATTAAACAAATATTTAAACCACCTATGAATCATTTTAATCAATCAAAGAAAGATGATCAAAGAAGTTTAGTTGTTGACCTACTAACTTCATATTAGTCGATTAGTATTAGTAACTGCTATAATCGAGATATTTCGAGACATTTTCTTAATTGCTCAACTCGTCCGCAGCCTGCAGAAACGACGCCTGCCTCCAATCACTTAACCTAAGGGTTGTTTATAACGCTGTTCTGTCCATTCAATTAATCAATCTAATCTGAATTGTTATTGATTTGCACGAGGGTCCTCTGTCTGCCGGGTTGTCAGAAAACATTGTTTTATTAAGATTGGATTTAGGGTCACGGCACGGATTTATAAGTTAAATTATACAAAAGTTGACTTTAGTAATCTGCTAAAAATGAGTAGGTACTCTAGTCTTTATGGCATAGTTAAATTGGAGAGTTTTCACTTGAAAAAAGAAAATAAACTCACTCAGCTAATCTATACTAATATTATAAACTAAAACCCCAATATGTGTTGTATACTGTGAATGTCTTAAATGTGTATTGCTGTTGGTGTACCTTTATCAATAAATAAATAAATAAATGCGAAAGTAACTCTGTCTGTCTGTCTGTCTTGCTTTCACGCCTAAATCACTGAACCGATTTTGATGTTTGGCATAGAGATAGTTTGAGTCACGGGAAAGGACAGTCTCCAGATTTTATTTGGAACTATTAACTGTTTCCGCGTACGCATGAAAATATTTTGAATAATGTTTTTGTTTGGATTATTTTTTGGATTGGCCAGGCCAATTGGACAAAAGGTCTGCAAACAAAGGATGTATGGGCCGGTGTAAGCTTGTGCTCGCAATAGGCAAAGTTGGCACTTGGCGCTGTGCCGCAAGGCGCCTCGGACGACGCTCCGGCGCAAGTTTAGACAAGCAGGACGATTCTTCCATGTTTGGACAGAAGTTAAAATGCAGATTGAACGACGATTGTATTAATACTTCAATGCATTTATTATTTAATGCCATAAGATGCAACTTTATACATAAGCCAATTTAGAAATACAGTCTAACTACTACTAACTGAACTAACTGTAACATGTTATTAAGATGACGGGTTAGGTAAGAACTGAGCAATAAATTATGTTTTTAGTGTCTGCGTGTCTGTTTCAATAAGACATCGTAATTACTTATAAACCTTATTTACTTTTAAGTTTGGATGTTTGTCTCGTTACACGATTGATGGTATGAAATCTATGAAAATGTGAATGAATGCATTGAGTGTCATTGCGATCGATGTGGCCATGGCCTACACCGGCGCCGCGGTGGTGCAGCGGGAGCGAAGCCGCCGCATAAATGAAAATATTATTATTACAGCAAAAAAAAACATATTGATTTTTGCTTGCATGACCTGCGGCGCGTAGGAGCTTTTTACACGCAAATAAATACTTACCTACCTCAATACGATTGCATTATTCATTACTAGCTGTTGCCCGCGGCTTCACCCGCGTGAAATTCAGTTTGTCACAGATCGTCGTAAATTATAGCTTATATGTTATTCTGGGTTAGAAACAATAATACCGTAAAGTTTTATCAAAATCCGTTCAGTAGTTTTTGCGTGAAAGAGTAACAAACATCCAGACATCAGAACGGGCCGATCGAGCTTTCAGAACAAAGAAGAATTCAAAAAGATTTTAATTTTAAAAACTGATAAATAACATTGTAAATCGAAAATATGCTTATTTACATTAACAATCTCAATAAGGATCGTTAATATTAGTTTGTTAACTTGAAAAATAAATTGTAGAGAAAAAATTGTTAAACGTTTTGCTTATTATCCGAAAAATACACTATAATTAAAAAAAATAAAGTAAGTAAGTAGTCATCATAAAATACATACAGAACGTGAAAAAATTACACAGGAAAACTCACTTACCTTGAAAATGATGTGCCCGTCCTGGCAGTGCAGTGATGCTGCTTCGGCGCGGCTCGGGCGCCGACACAGCTCGTGTTACTCTCCGCACCGGGTCCTGCGGGCAATTCACAATGAGGACATGGTACTGCATTAGGCACAAACAGCAAGCTGGACAATAAATTGTTGAAATTACCATCGGCCCGTGCGCTTCGCCCGGCATCGGCGGCTGGCGGCCGCGCGGTGGCTTGAAATGACCCTCATATTCACAACCGTCAACCGGGATGCTCGAACTAAAACCTCCGCGATCCTGAGTGCTATCAACAATTTGCCTGAATACCTCCTGCACTGCGCTGCCAATACTACTGTGAACACGCTGCATGCCACTCACAAGCACATTGAATTCTCAATTTTATTAGCAAAATTGACGCGCTATTTTTGTTGATGGCCTACTCCGGCATATCACGATCATTGAATTCTGCCAAAGTCATGCTTATTAATTTGAATTTACACAAATGTAGTAAGTAATTAATTAAAATCTGGTTAAAATCTCTTTGGACTCAATTCAGCTGATTGCTAACTCTGATTGACTTTTTTTGCACTCTTTCAGGCTTGGACTGAAGCACATTAATCCTAAGGGGAGGGAGGAATTTTAATTTATAAATAAGTAATAAAAAGTATAATGATAAAAAATAAATATACTATTAATCTTAATATTATTATTATCGCTGTATCATTATTTTTTGTATAATTTGTGCCACATTTTTTAAAGAAATTAATTACCTAATACAATGTAGGTAACTTAATTTTTTTATACCTAAATCGTTATTACTTTTAGATTAAGCACTTACATTAGAGCAAAGCTTAAAATATGATAAATTAATTTTCGAAGAAAGGATGCCAAGGTAACCCTACGGTCGTTTTCAGTAAACTTAGCCACAATATTTGACTCACAATCAGTGTTACATACTTTGCAGATTGCGTAAGTGACGCACAGCTGTGCATCACGATACTTTAGCCTTGACTTGAATAATAAATAATTTTAAGAATATTAAATTCATCACTAAGCGATGGCCACTAGTGTTCTTGTACTACTTTCAATTTATTTTATTGGAACAATGATGATTGCAAAATAAATTGGAAGATACCTACATGCAGTGAGTCCACTCATAGTGAAGCCCCGGCCCACCAAGCAGCTGTTCCTTTAGGTGATCCACAACGCGTGAGAGAGTGTCGCCGCACGCCACGATATCAGCTATACCTATTATCACAGACAGTAACAGAACAGTCTTCAAATATTTTTTTGTCATGGTTTGGGCAATATAGCCCTGGCGAACTTCAAAATAGTCTTACAATAGAAAGCGTGGATTTTTTTTTTTAATTTAGAACATTCAAATGTGCTGGTTCGAAATTTGAATTCGCGCGCCGATCGCGGTCAGTGACGCGTGACGGTGAACAGTCGCAGTCGCCGCGCACCGGCCGGCCCGGCCGTCTTTCTGAATATTATTATAATACTTGTGGTAATACGTACGTTCAAGTTAAATAATGTTATGTAAAATCCTACTATGTATTATGTTCTATGTACCAGCCAGGGAAACATACATTTTTGTGTGAATAACAGTGCCGTGTCGTGATATCGATTCCAAAATTTCCAATGCTGTCTGCGGTAAGTGTTTTTTTTTATAATAAAATTGTAATGATGTTTTGATTTTTGATGGTGCTATTCAAATTACGAAACGAAAATATTATTGTGTTAAGTGTTTGTTCCTTGTTCTATAACATTTTTTGTATAAAATATTCCCTAACTGCTGCTTGCTACCTACGTTTTCATACAAAATGTAGGTAGGTGCGATGCTCACATGCGGAACTTGTCGATTCGGAATCAAATGCTTTCTAATCTCTAATTTTAGGTAGGTACATATATTTACTCAGATTATGAATATTGATATGTATTATGTATTCTGTTGTTAAACTGAGAATAATGTACGTACCTATGCGAATTTATGCCTATGTAGAGTAATGTAGACAGTGGGAAGGTGCCGTATCATTGTTTATAAACCCACCCGCCCGATCTCATACTTCATGATATTTCGTCTTAACGGCTTGTTATAGTTTGGTGTGTGATTATGTTACAATCTCTTATGGCTGGGTTGCAGCATCTTAATTTAACTTTGACAAACTTCAAAAATTTGTCAAACTCCATACAAAAAGCACCGGTTATCGTCATAGTTACCGTTAAAGTTAGGTTGTGCAACTCAACCTTAATAAAATAGATTTAATAGGAACTAAGAGATTGAAATAACCCTCCTTCTGGCGCAGTCGGGTAAAAATATTAATCTTACTATAATACTTATTATAAAATATAAATGCGAAAGTTTGTATGGATGTCTGGATGTGAACATATTTAATTTTGTTACTCTTTCACGCAAAAACTACTGAACGGATTTTGATGAAACTACAGTATTATTGTTTATAACCTAGAATAACATATTATAGGCTATATTTTATGACGATCTGTGACAAACTAAATTTCACGCGGGTGAAGCCGCGGGCAGAAGCTAGTGTCAAAATAATAGTTTGTAAGGCTAATTTTTACTGAAGCTTATGTGGATGAAGCCGCGATGAATAACTAGTAGGTATCTACTCTATAATAGGCCAAGCAAATGTTAGATACCTACTTACCTAGCCTCACCACAAAGCCACCACTGCGCTCGACCGTGTCGCTGAACATTTTTCTAATTACAGTCAGTAGGACTAAAAGTACCTACCTAGGTACGAAGTTTCTTTTTTAGGTTTAGGTTTAAGAATTTATTTCTCAAAAGAAATTGTACATTTCACTTAAAATGAGAAACAAGGTATTTCAATTATTTACAAAATAAATGTAGGTAGATCTTAAACTAAGGGCGCACGGATTAAATTGTTCACCAAACACAAGACATTCGTCGGTAGACGTGAAAAAAACAAGACACATTGACCTTATTAAGTATCACTTTTTGACTCAGGTGTAGAAGGCGATCACTTGCCATCAAGACCTTTATGCGGACCTTTGAGGAACCATTTCTTATTAGTAGGTAGGTAGGCAGTCACAGGCATTTCAAGCTTTTAGATTGGTCAAGGTGCATGTTAGTTTGAAAATATAAAATGTATTTTGAAATGAGTTTGTGTTGTTGTTTTTAGTGATACCTACTTAGCAACAAGCCCAAAAATACCTACTTTTTTATTACATTCAATTCCATTCCTAGGTCAGCAATACGATTATAAACTTTATCGTGATTTTTATAAATTTCCTCTAACGTTGTTAGTTTTATTGAAAGCCAAAAGCCGCTGAGTCAAGACCCACCTGATATTTTTTTAGTATTTTAAAAGTTAAGTAGTACTTAGTGGCCAATAAACAAGTAGTGACAACAGAGGGCCCCCGCTGAATTTAATATTCTTAAAATCAGTTTCAAGACAAGCCCTGTCGGTCTCGATGTACGCACAAGCAGTTATCTGTCCACTTGTGTATTCTTTCTGTATGTATCTATGTCTTGCCTGCTTGTATACTTTTCTTTCTAATAAAAAGTTTTCTATTCTATTCTAAGTAGTGCCATCGTCTGTGGTAGCGGCGCTGCTGCTTCTACTTCGAGTGAGAGTCTGCAGTCGAGTTCCTAAGTTCGGAACATGTCATTACACGGCTAGACTCGACGCGCGGAAAGTTGTTAATTGAAAAATGTCCGAATTGCGCGCTTAGCTAGTTAGAAGTTGCTCTGCGCTGACGTGCCTGCGAGGCTAGGGAACGCAGGAACGCTGTATTTGTATTTATTTAGTCAGAAACAAGTTTGAAATTATCATTGTTACAATAAATATCGACCTAGGTATTAGCAGGAGGAACGGCCAATGCTACAATGATGACTTAAAGTTAAAAATATGGCTTGGGAGGCAAAATAATTGCAATGTAAAATTGCAAAAAAAAGTGGTCTCAACGAAATTATGATTTAGTTATTACATCTTTACATTGTCGTCCGTTTGGTGTAATGGTTCACAACAGTCTAGTATGCCAGAGGTCGCGGGTTCGATTCTCATAACAATAGTGCACCTACCTACAAACATTTGCGTGCATGAACTTTATATTGGTCTGGGGGTTTTCTATCCACAATAATTATATTTTATGTTTAATAATAATGTTTATACAAGTATTTAATAATAATGTTTATTTATATCCGTTGTCTGGTACCCATAGTTCTTAGATTTACTTCGTTTGATAGCGTAGTGAAACTAGTGAAGACCTTCCAAGGATATTTTATTTATGTATTATATTTAATTACCAGCTTTCCGCCCGCGGCTTCGCGCGCGTGGACCCCTGAACCCTATTTTTTTCCAAAATAAAATTTAGCCTATGTTACTCGTGGATAATGTACCTAGCTTTCGAATGGTGAAAGAATTTTTAAAAACGGTCCAGTAGTTTTTGAGCATATTCATTACAACCAAACAAACAAACAAAGTTTTCCTCTTTATAATATTAGTATAGACAAAATAAACGATTTATATTAAATTAATTAGGTTACCTGCTGACTATCGAAGTTGCGATTTGTTCAATTTATAAGCATACGGCTGACGATTACCTACTATTTCAGTTGCCATCATGACAACGACGACAATACTTGATTTTTGTAATAATTCTCGAAATAATTTAGATCGTTAACAAGATCTATTTCTATCTAATACCATAAGCGAATACCAACGCTATTAAGCAATAAATCGTTAACATAAGCGAACAACACAGAGCGTTAGATATTCTATTGTTTATTTCTCAGGACAATTTTTTTTGTACACAAAAATTGCGAGTTGTTTTATCTAGAAGATTGTCGAGGTACTAACAAACGTGCGTTCTCTAGGTGGGGCGTATCAGTGACGTCATTACTGGAGGACGTGCGATGAGAACGGGACAGATATTCCCGAAGGAAATCACACGCGTCAAACGCGTTACGTCTAATGCGAACAATTTGGGGATAACGCTAACGTCTTTTGTAAATGATTTGGATTGGCAGCTGATAATCATTTATCTGAGTAGAGAGTCGCATAGATAATTTTAATTCCCTGCCCAAAGTGAACTTTTGAAACCAACGAGCGCATTCGTTTTGAGATGCAACACCACCTGCATTAATGAGAGATGCACCTACCTACTTACTATAATAACTTTTACCAGATTGCGTATGGAGGGTTCAATATGCTCTAAAGTAGGTTAAATATTTTACGGGATAACCTGCTGGTAAGATAATTAGCCAGAAAGGGACGCGCTGCTTACATTCATCATTACCAACGATGCAGAATTACTAAGGATAGGTTACTGACGTTTTCATGAGGTTTGCTTTCATTATTATGGTAAATGTTTTAACTACCCAC